ATTCCTGCTCCTGCTGCTGTATTCCAGGTCTCCTACTTAGCCAGCATTGTTCGGTACGGAGAAACGCCAGAGACCTCCTTTAATCAGTGGGCATGGGGGTTGATCTTGAGGTTAAAACTTCACAGAAATGACCGTGGCGTGCAGCATGGCTGGCCTGTAGTCCCTGGGTGCGACAGTGTGCTCGACATGACGGAGTCGGTCACACTTCATCCCCTCCTGAAGGCCGTTAAAGCAAGCGTCCCTCTGGGATGTTATATGGCACTGGCAATGACTGCGCTAGGTCACAGGTGAGTGCACTTGTTTTTGTGTTTGCCTTGGATGGATGTCCCCCACCACTATGCAGCCTACTCAGTGATGATATAAAGGCTATTAGCTTCCCTGTGCGTGTTTAAAGAAAGGGATTGTAGTTACGAATATGTGATTTCCTTTATTTTGCTAATGCTGTGCTTTGCCTTCTGTGTGTTGAGGTCAAAACAGTCATTAAAAAATTATATTGAAACCAAGGGGTTAGCATGATTGCTATGAACAGGAGTAACTTTTAAGCACATTTGCTAAAAGGATTGTTCTACAGGTCTGTCTTTTTTTTTTTTTTTTGCCAGCAGAGTTGCAGTAAAGTGGTCAGAAAATAGTGAGGAGAAAATACCCCATTCTAGCTGATAGTAAGTAGGGAGCTTTATAACCTTGATACTGAACCTCCTAGCCTGATTGTGTTCCAACACAGTCTTTTCCAGTGCTTTCAGGTGGTTTTTAGGTAAGGCTCTTGAACGTAATCGGATGTGCTAGTTGATTAAGTTACAGACCTAGGCATAGATTAATCAGGTTCTCCCAGGTTGGTTTTCCATGAGTCTGTCACCTCTTCAATTCTCTTACTCAAAAATTTTGACTGGCTTTTTCTTCATACGATATTGCCTTGCTCTTTAAAGATTCTTGGCTTTCTTCTTCCCCAAGCCAGCGCTTGATGCTAAGGTTATCTTCATACGATATTGCCTTGCTCTTTAAAGACTCTTGGCTTTCTTCTTCCCCAAGCCAGTGCTTCATGCTAAGGTTGTGCCATAGACACATACATGCTTCTTCAAAGCACTAGAGTGATATGAAGGTGTTCTGGTTGGTTCAGGAGTGGAAATTTTTGCATGACTTTTGAACAGGTAACAAAAAACAAAGAACCTCTTTATTTTCTGGTGTTTCCCACCCTCCTCTCCTCCCCAAACATTCTCTTTGGCCTTGCAAATAACTGTTTGACTTCCTTCTCTTATCTAAACAATAACACTGATACTTACCACATGCAGAAGTTCAAGGCCGGTTTTGTTAATGACCAGAAGAAACAAAGTGCTGTGTAGTATGCTAGTGACTGCTAGAAGAGGTTTCATCTCAGCTGACTGCAACCATTTAAGTATGTGCTGTGATGGAAACATCTGAGCTCCATCTGTAGGTAGTGAAGAAAGATGTCCAGAGCATCATTCGTCCTGAGGCGATGTTAAAGCTTGATGATATGAAGCTTCCTTGCATTGCCTGGAGAGAGAGTGTGGTAGGCTAGGTTAGGTAAGAAAACTGAGCTTTAAATTGTTTGAAACTTGATGAATGAAGACAGCCATCTTCAGTGAGTTTGGAAGACAGGACCCTAGAAGGGCAGGAAATACTTAGCAAGTCTGTCAGAAAATAAATGACTTTTACAGTTGAAGGAAAAACTCTGTGGATTTAGCTGTTCAGGATTTCGAAGATGAAGTGTAAAGATCTGAATGTCTTTGTGTCTCAGTTCACAAAAAAAAATAAATAAATCAACACCCTGCCAGCCTTTCTACTGATAGTGTATTTTTCTTTTTTCTTTTTTTGACAGCATTGAGAAGTTCTGTGCTGACGGTATCCCTCTCTTGGGTGTACTCGTTCAGTCTCGATACCTGAGAACAGTAGTCCATGTGCTCGATAAAATTTTACCCTTATTTTACTGTTGCCCATATTATCTCCTGAAGAATGAACAGTAAGCATTATATGTTCCTAATATGTTTATTGATAAAGAACAATGAAAATCTTAACCACTAAATTTATCAGGCTTCAGTCTGGGTTTTGCATCCAGGGAGAGTGTTATGCCAGTGACGGGGAAGTACATTTGGTTTATTTGCTGAGTCACTTCTTGACATTGACTGTGTTCGAGGAAGTAGTTGGAGTGTGCTCTACTGACATCACGTGCACAGTTGTCACTGATGCTGCTGCTGTGACACAGGATTGATCTTCAGACATCTGGTTTACAAGTAGCTGTTGTGTTTAGAAGAGCGAGAAAGACAAGCAGCCCTTGTCCCTTGTCCCTACCCCTGCTGGGAAGTTGAGCAACAACTGGGAGCGTTCCCAAGTGGTCTGTCCTGGTCAATTAGTAACGTGGTCCCTGGGCTGCTTTTGGCTTGGACCACCTGGCAGTCTCCCAAACAATTCCTGGGCTGGATTTGGGTGATGTGGATCAAGAACAGTATTCAGTTCTATCGGCACTCAGTTCTGATAAGCTGCCTCAAAATACAGTCTGCTGTGAAGTGTCGTGCTGTGCCTACAATATGGTTAATGTCATAAAATCACAGAATCATAGAATGGTTTGGATTGGAAGAGACCTTAAAGTCACCTAATTCCAGTCCCTTTTGGAGCAATTAAATCTGCAGCATGGTCTTGAATCAAAGTCCTTGTATATGAGTGTCACCAGTGCTGTTGAGCTGGTTCTAAGTTCTCTAGAAGCAGGTCTTCTATATATTATGCAGTAGGAGAAATTTTAGAATTAATTTTATTTGTTGACATCCTTAGGTTTTTATCTTACGTCCAGCTGTTCCTTCATTTGGATAGCGGAGTCCCTCAAGGCATGACCCAGCAGGTTACCCATAAGGTAACGCAGCACTTGACAGGTGTGAGCTATGGAGAAAATATTAAGCTGCTGAGTAGTATGATACAGGTAAGAAGATTAAAAAAAAAAATAAATCTTTGGTTTCCTGAAATACTTCTGCTTAAACTTCCCTAAATCTGGCAACACATGTGGCACTGGACAAGAGAACAGCACATACCTTCCACACTTCTTGGAAAACACATTTTCTAATACCAAGCCAAAACTGCCTAAAAAAAGGAATGTAATATGCAGCACTACTCTTCTGCTTGTGTTAGTTAAGGGATGCAGCAGATATATTAGTGATTGAAAGCTTTGGCTGTGGTATGATAAAATGTTTCTGTGTTAGGGAATGACTGTATTTTTTTCTTCAGTACAGAGAGGTCAAGAACCAAACTTCACTAACATTAGAGAGGGATAAA